GGAGGAGGAGGAGGAAGAGGAAGAGGAGGAGGAGGAGGAGGAAGAGGGGGAGGAGAAGAAAACGGAGGAGGGGGAGGTAGGAGGTAGGAGGAGGAGGAGGAGGAGCAGGAGGAGGAGAAGGAGGAGAAGGAGGAGGAGGGGGAGAAGGAGGATGACGACGTTGTGGAGGAGAAGGAGGAGGAGGAGGAGGAGGAGGAGCCCTGTAAGGAGCCATGTCGCCCACCCTCTGCCGTAGCAGCCCTGCCCCCAGCTATTGCTCAGGCGCCGCACGCCGAGGCGGCGGTCGCCGCCAGGAGTCCGACGACGAGGACGATGACCGCAGGGGCGGGCGCAGGAACAAGGGCGCGGGTCCTAGCAGGCCCCCGATCGGCAGGTGGTAGGGCTTCGGGCTTCGGGCTGCGCACGGACGGCCCCACGAGATAGCCCTGGCTGGTCTTCACAGGCCCCCCGAGTAGCCCCTGCTGACCTCAGCAGGCACCCGGAGTGGCCCAGGGCGGTCTCAACACTCAGAGGCGCTTCCTCCGGCAGCGCCCCATGGGGCGCTTCGCGCCCCGGGGTTGGCGGACACCGCCCTGGAACATTCCGGGAGCCTGTTGGGGCCAGCTGGGTTTGCTCGGGGGGCCCGTGGAGGCCAGCCATGGGCTATCTCGGGGGGCTGCCTGCGCGCAGCCCGAAGCCTCACCGCCCGCCGATCGGAGCCCGATCGGACCGAGACGTAACATGTGTGGTTCAGGCCACCTGCTCTTCGGGCCACCTGGGGCTCATGCGGGGGGCCCTCACGGCCACGGCTGGGCGCAGCTCGAGACATTGGCATGGATTGGCCCAGGAGGGGTTTGGGGATCAATGCTGGACCGCTGTTTGGGCAGAAAATTGTTTGGGGTCAGTCGCCGGTGCGCGACGATGATTGCGCCTCGCGCTTTGCGGCCTGGCCTGGAGAAGCTGTTCTTCCTCATGGGGGCCGCGCGAGGGCGCGAAGGCAGACGCGACGCGCTCCGCGCCTCACTGTGGCACGAGGCGCGATTTACAGGTAGCCCCATTTCGAGTAAAGGATCGACGACAAAATTGATTTACCCCAACATGGAGTGTTCCGTCGAACCTGCGACAATACTGGGCATGCTCCTTAGGTTGCCAATGATTATACATGATATGTGTTGTGAAGTCGGCAAACGGATAAAACTTGGGTCAAATCAAGTCTGTAGTCGATCCCCTACTCGACCATCGGCCGGTCTCGAGCGGGTGCCTCTCGATCGACGTTGTGCCCGCGCTCTGGAGTGTGACTGGCCGGCTGGGTCAAGACCGGGAAGCGGGCGGCCGCGGAGCAGCCGAGATCGCGGGAGGGGGGCAGGGGGCGCCTCCCTTCCCCTCCGCTGTTGCCGCTCGCCTGTGATGCCCAGACGTGCTCTGGGGCCTTCGGAGGCCTCCTGAGGCCCCCGGAGGTCTCCGAGGCCCACGGGAGTCCAGAGGCGTGCAGAAGACAATTCGATCTTCCATCTTCTTTCCCCTCCTCCACCCTCCTCCCTCCCTGGGGCCTCCTGGGGTCCTCTCTTCCCTCCACATCTCGCTCCGCGTCCTTACCCCTTGTCGTTCTCCCCCCCCCCTCGTCCTCTCCACCTTCAAGACGAAAAGCACTGCTGCTCGCGCCCTCTCCTCCTCTCCTGCTGCTGCTCCTCCTCGGGCGGGCATTGGATCAGCCTCGCTCGGGGCGTGCTGCGCCTGAGGCCGGGACGAGCCGAAGAAGGACGGGCTGGCCGCCCCCGCCCCCCATCTGCTCTGCCCGGGAGGCCGTCTGCGCAGCGACACGCTGCAACCTGGAGGAGGAGGAGGAGGAGGAGGAGGAGGAGGAGGAGGAGGAGGAAGGAGGAGGAGGAGGAGGAGGAGGAGGAGGAGGAGGAGGGGAGGAAGTGGAGGAGGAGGAGGAGGAGGAGGAGGAGGAGGAGGAGGAGGAGGAGGAAGGAGGAGGAGGAGGAGAGGAGGAGGAGGAGGAGGAGGAGGAGGAGGAGGAGGAGGAGGAGGAGGAAGTGGAGGAGGAGGAGGAGGATGTGGAGGAGGAGGAGGAGGAGGAGGAGGAGGAGGAGGAGGAGGAGGAGGAGGAGGGGGAGGAGGAAGTGGAGGAGGAGGAGGAGGAGGAGGAGGAAGAGGAGGAGGAGGAGGTCTTCCGCATTGAACTCGAATTGCCGCCCTCCTCTGCTGCGAGCCATTTTATCTTGTCGTTGCTGTTCATACCATTTTCATTACTCTGTCACGTGATCCTGAACCGATCTCACAGAGTGTGGTTCAGACTGCGGTGCCACAAGTGCCAGCAGGTGTTTAACGTGGACACTAAGGACAACTGGGCGCTCCTGGGTACGTGCCAGGAGGATGAGGAGACGGACGAGGAGGAGGAGGGGGAGGAGGATGATACTTTGGTGATATGAACCGTGCCCTGGAGAAGAGATGCGCCAGGGAAGCTGCATCCGTGAATGCACCTGACAACTCCTCGCGGTGGCCTGCTCGTTTGGAAGGGCCACCCCAGGAAACAAACAAATTGTCAGTCGGAGTCGTCCAACGCCGAAGAGCTTACGCGGGCAGCTCGGACCAGCGGAGAATTCGTCCTCCTCGCGACGGAGACCTTCCGCCACACCCCGCAACTGCCCACCAGTCAGTCCCCCCCCTCCCCTTCGGGAGTGCGAGAGAGCTAGAAAACGGGTGCCCCGGGAGGGGGGCAAGCCGCGAACCTTGCATCACCATTGGAAGGAACAAGACGACGTGGCACTTCAAGACGACTGGTCGCAGGGCGGGCTCCAACCCCACCTCGACGATACGAGCCTTCGGCGCCGCAACCTCATCTGAATGGGCTGGGGCAGGGGGCAACCAACCGACGCGGCATCCCCGAGGGATGGTACACGACGACACGGCGCGATGACGCGCCCCGAAGAATGCTGAGCGGCATCCAACGTCTCCTCTCTGAATTGGCCGACGGAATCGCGAGCCTCGGGCGCCTCGTCCTCACCGTCGCCAGCCAAGGCTTCAACTTCCACAGCCACTCCCTTCAAATGTGGGTTGGTGCTTCGCTTGAGTCTGACTCGCCCCAAGCGATTCTTATGCGTCTGTCTGGTCCGCAGCCCTGGCAGCATCCTGGGTCTCCTCATCTAACTACTAACGCCCCTATCCGTTCTTGCGCTGCCGAGCAAAAACGGGCGCGATGATAGATCACGCGATCTCGCGACAACGTTGCTCTGCAACTAAGCCCTCTGATGCATCGCTTCTCCAGGGCCGAACGCTTGCTGGACCGTAATCAGGCCTCCACCGCGCAGTGGCAAAGGCCGCTCTCGAGACCGTGAGACTTGCCAGGCTCGCGCGGAAGTTGCCGCAAGCTCGTTGGGCGACGCTCCAAGGAACGCCTCATGGCCCCAATCGGGCCTCTCACGTTCCTCCAAAACATCGGGGCCGGGGCACTATCATCAACATCCGGAAATATGGCCTCCCGAGACGCCTTGAGAGCCGCGAACTTCAACGGGTGTTTGAAGATCCCACGCTGATTCGCCCACGCCTCTGTGGAGTAGCGAATAACTGGGGTTACCGTGGAATGCCAGCACAGCTCCCCTTCCAGGGTGAGCACTGAGGTGAGGCTACGCATGCCCGCGGCTGGCTCGAGATCCCTCCCGAGACCCCCGCGCAAGCCCTCAAACTCGAAGCCCGAGACACCGTGCACCTGTGAAGCATGCGCAGCCCCCGCCAGAGGGCCCATGGTGAGGACCCTCGTGGCATACTCCTGGCCCAAGATGGGCCTGATCTTTTCGAGCTTTAGGACCATTTTCCGAACAGACGTCATGCGCTTCTTGTCGCCCACTCCTAGTTTGGTGGCGTTGCGAGACCTGGTTCCCCTCGCCGCCGAGCCCCTCGAAGAGGCGACATATGTTGGCACCAGTCATCTGGGGCGAGCAAGCGACAGGGGCCTTCTGCTGCGGCACTGATAACTCCATGCCGTAAGTTGGAACATATTGCAGCTGGGAGGTTCCTTTCATGATGTCCGGAATAGCCGTTCGCTCCGACCCCGTCGCCTACATGCCATCATTACCGATGTCGATGACGAGCGAGTCATGGCCCGATTGTTCGAGGAGGTCGACGCAGTAAATGAGGTAGGCTCGCGCGGACGGAGTAGCGAACGGACCCCCGGCAACGCCACCCCTATTCGCGAAGAAGGACCCTCGATCACGCCTCCGAGGGTCATGAACCGAGGGCCTAGGTACATAGTGATGACGAGCCTGGGAATCTGGGAGGGAAAGCCCCCCAAAGCGCGTCGAGACTGCAGCTTGCAGATGTCGAGCCCTTCGTTACACTTTTACCGGCCCCACAGCGCAGGGCACGCCACGCCTCCGCCCCTGGGCCCCGTGGCCATCTAAGACTTGACCGACTGGCGCCACACGACGTCTGCAGCTCCCCTGAGATGCCCGCTGCGAGGGGCTTCCTAGCCAATCTGCTTTCCCAATCGACAGTGAAAGGACGACGGGCACGACCATGCGATCGGTGAGCCGAGGAGAAGAGACCAATATGACGCCATCCTCCCGCTGGCTTGGGTAGGAGAGACATTGTATGTGTACGAACGTGATGGGACATGACTTGCGCGGCCTCCATGGTGCTATGACATGACATGGGCGCATAGCGCAGCAGGTCGGATCCATCCACTCTCGTAAGGGCCCCTTTCGGGCATGACCGCGCCACTGCTCTGACCACGTCGTGTGGCCCGAAATGCAGCGGGTCCAAGTGCTCCGATTGGCTGTCAGGCCATGGAGAGAAAGATCCTCGCTTTGATATTTGCGAATTCGCATCGGACGCCAGTGGGGATGAGAGAAAACAAGCAAACCGAGGCTCCCTTTTCGTGAGAGAGCTCGACAGTTGTGTTGATAGCTAGATCTGTACACCATGATATGATGCGAAATTGATATGTATATGTAGAGCTATTGGTATTATGTGATATTGATATGTGGTCTTATGTGATAACATGCAATCTTGATTTGTGATATATATATATATATATGTATGTATATATATATGTATACAGATCGTGAACTCGAAGGATACGTCGTGCGATCGATAGTGTAGTGAGATCGGTAGGTCGAATGTGTGGCCGATAGTGGGGTCGATCACTGCATAGACCGCTCTATCGGCGTATATTTGTATATATATATATGTGATTGAGACTGATCTGTATCTAGTCATGCAGGTATATTGTGAGAGCGATCGAGATGTCTCGGTGGATAGAGATCGTTGGCCCGAGTGATGCCTCGTCTTTGGTTCCACCCCTTACTTCTTTATCGGTTTCAGGCCAGTATTATAGACGTCTGCGTATACAGATCTATATAGACAGTCGCGATAAGTTTCACATTACATGTGTTGCGCTTAGCCTGCGTCAGGGGCGACCGGTGATGAGCAGATGCAGGAGGTAGGGGGAGGCGTGGGGGGATGGCGGAGCACGTACACCAAAGCCTTGGGAGCGGATTGGTCACAGAGTCTTTTCTGTGGAAGGGCCAGGGCCTCTTTGGGACACAATTTCCGCTCCCGGTATCCGTTCCGCGAGCCCGGTCCAAGAACGGTATCGTGCCCCGCCTCTTATAGGTCGCCGTTTTGTGCTCCCTTCCCAGCCATCGTGTCCGCGCACCCCTCCCCCATAAAGGCGTACACAAATTGGGACAAACGTCCATGTTGATCCGCTGGCCCTGCAGGACCGCACGTCCCATTCTCACAGGCAGGCCTGTAGAACTCCAACTCGTTCTGAGTCGGCGCCAGTCCCCGCGCGGCAGGGCTGCTCCAATGGAAGACCCGCGCTTCCCCCAGTCATCTTCCCCGTGGCGGCCAGCGCGGCCGACACCGTGCAAGGGCCTGCCGCCGCGGGCAGCGTGGGGCTCCTTCGAACGACACCCCCTTCGCTGGCTCTGTTGGGGCGGAGATCACAGCTGCACGGCTGACCTTTTGCAAGCGATGTTTTCTCTGGCCTCGGTGGACGGCGTTTCGATTCGATTAGCTTCGTGAATCATGTAGTGGAGTCCTGCCGAACCGGCGCAGGGGCCACCGCTTCTTTCGCAAATGTGTTCGAGGTCGCGCAAGTCCATGTTTTCTTGCCCACGGACTTGCAGCTGAGCAGCGCAATGGTACAGTATAGTTGCTGGCGCCCTCGAGGTCGCTCCACTTAGGAAACGCCGTCTGCTCGGTCCTTCACTGCTTCGTGACGCGGGTCGGCCAGAATGCCACCGAGGACTGTGGCACAAGCGTCGAGGGCGGGCTGACCCGGGATTGGGACTGGGCGTGGGGAGGGGGGGACGACAGGGGTGAGGATGGAGGATGGGAGGAGGACGAGGAGGGGAAGACGGGGGGGCAGGACGGGGATGAAGATGATCGAGGAGGAGGAGGAAAAGCAGAAGGAGCATCAGGAGGAGGTGGAGGCCCGAAGAGAAGAGCAGGAGGAAGAGGAGGAGGATGCGGAGGAGGAGGTGGAGGGGGAGGATGCGAAGGAGGCCCGAGGATGCGTCATGAGGAAAAGCAGCAGCGGGTGCATCGAGGACGAGGGGAGGATCACTGACTCGGCATCCATCTTGGAGGACTCAGCGAGGGATGCCAGACATCCTCCGATATGTGTTTTCAGTGCGCGGCCCCAGAGGTCCTGGCCTATTCTCCAGGGGCAGTGTTGCGCAACAGATCTACTTCTACTGGCCCCAGAGGCCGAGATGGAGGAAAAACGCCCAGGCTGAACATAAAGCATATTGGAGGAGGAGGAGGAGGAGGAGAAGGAGGAGGAGCAGGAGGAGGAGGAGGGCCAGAGCAGGAGGAGGAGGGGCAGGGGGAGGAGGCGGAGAAGGAGGGGCAAGGGATGAAGAGGAGGAGGAGGAGGAGAGGGGCAGGGGGACGAAGAGGAGGAGGAGGGGCAGGGGGAGCAAGCGGAGAAGGAGGGGCAGGGGGAGGAGGAGGAAGAGGAGGAGGAGGAGGAGGAAGAGGAGGAGGAGGAGGAGGGGCAGGAGGAGGAGCACCAGCCGCCGCAGCCCACAAGCCCCGACCGGCCCGCCGTGCAGGAGGCGGCGCCGCAGACGAATTTGCTCGACATGATGGGCGACGCGCCGGCCGCGGGAGGCACGCCCCGCGCCCCGCTCGCCTCTTCTCGGGGGCAGCGCCAGGGGGGCGGCCGGGGCCGGTAAGAAACCGCCGCCAGCGCGAGAACCAGACAAAAACGCTCAGGAGGGGAAAGAACACACACACACACACAAAAAAAAAATCACACACACACACAAGTGAACGTCGATACCCAGGGAGGTGCGGGACCATCTGGGAAAAGTGTGCGTGGGGAATGCGGGAGTCAAGGACATATGCGAAGACATGGGGAATTCTGGGATCCGTATCGATCATTTCGTGTGCCCCCGGGCCCCTGGAAACGCTCGCCACTGCGCCACGCCCGAGCGGCGCCCGATAGCGCCGCGGGCGGCGCCCGAGCGCGGCCTCCCGAGCCGCCGCCGAGCACGCCGCAGCGGCCCTCCCGCAGGGTGCGTCCGTCGTGCCCGCGCGGGCCTGCAAGGCGCGCCCCGCCGGGGCGCGTCTTGGGACCGGCCGGGGGTCGTCACGGCACGGGCCTGCCGTATACCCAGAACCCCCTCGGGCAAGGAGAACATCAGGACGGGAGGTTTGTTGCTATTTTCGGCCCCTGGGGGCCCTTGCCGGCCCTCTGGACCGTCCAAAGACGATTCAGGATGAAAAAGTGGTCCCGGGGAATGGGTCGAGACCTCTGGGGGTCGGCGTAATGATCGGGGGCGGCAAAGAGGGGGGGGATGACTAGGGGGGGGGATACCATGGCGTGGGCCAAGATATTTCTCCAGATTTCGTGGCGCATCTTCTTATTCCATTACGTCCCTGGCCCCCTCTTTAGCCGCGCACATGCCGCCGGCCATTGTTTGCACCCCCCCCTCTTGGACGCCCCCCTCTTGGCCGCCCCCGAAATGAAAAAATCATGACGTCGGGGGTCTGGGTATACGGCGTCCCAGTCTGGCAGGGGGCAGCGCAGCCCCCCTGCGCTCCCGGCGCGCCGAGGCGCCACCGGGAGAGGCAGGGCGAGGGACGCTCGGCCGAGCACCGCGGCAAGTGCGCTCTGCTTCATCGGGGCCTTGGCATCGTTCGGACGTCTGCGTGTTCTCTCGGCGGGGACGAGCGAGGAGCATCCTGGACCATCGAGCCAACAAAAACACGCACGACACCGACAACTGCACGGGAAAGGGACGGCCGAGCGACGGCAAGGGGCTGCCCTCCCGTCGCTGCTTCGTTTCGGCCAGGGCGCCGTTCCCTTTTCGGGAGCCGGCTGGTGGCTGGCGTGGGCTCCGTCCAGCTCCAGGAGGCCACTTCGGGGCCCCATGCAGGACCGGCAAAAACGGCTCCAGGATGAAGAACTCCACCAGATGGACCCGGGAGGGGTCCGGGCCACGAAACGTGTGAAGGGTGTGCCGAAATGGGGGCGGAACCGCATGCGCGAACCCTGCCCACGGGGCCTTCGGCGGAGCTCCCCATGGGGCCACGGAAAGTGTGAGGGGTGTGCCGACATGGGGGTGGAACCGCATGCGAACCTCGCCTCTGGGGCTCCTTTTGGAGCTAACCATGGGGCCACGGAACGTGTTAGGGGTGCAAGGGATGGGAGGAGGGAGGAGGGAGGAGGGACAAAGTGGAGCCCATGGCCCATGGGGCCCATCCATCTCAGACCCCCCAGGCCGCCTCCGAGGTGCATCGACCCCCAGTCGTCCGTTCATCGCCGACGGAGGGCCTGGCCGCCCGCCCCGCACAGGAACGTGCGGATGCGCTGATCTCTCGGCGAGGTATCGCCGATTCCAAGGCCATGTTGGTCCCCCCTCTGGGCCAGTCCACCCTATCGCGCTTCGAGGATTTCTGGAAGGCTCTGGCCCCTCTTGGAGCCTCACGCTGTGAAGGGAAGGGGTCCTGCGCGAAGCGTGCTCCCCAGACCCCGGGGCCGTCAACAAAACGATTCAGGATGAAAAGCTGGTCCCAGGAGAACGCCCCAGGGTCCTTGAACTCCTCCTCCTCTTCCTCCTCCTCCTCCTCCTCCTCCTCCTCCTCCTCCTCCGCCTCCTCCTCCTCCGCCTCCTACCCCTCCTGGTTCCAGGAGATCGCCCCCTGGTGCATGGACCCGTTTCCTGCAGGACCCGGCTCACTCATGCCAAGCCTCCACCCTGAGCTCCGAGGTAATAAAGGATTGCGGATTTTGGGCGTGCCCCCGCACGGGGACTGGTGTTGGGACGGGTTTCGGTCGGGGGCGGGGCTGGCTTGGGCGGGGGGGAGGGCGGCCTCCTTCCCGGGCGACGAAACCTACTCGTATCCACCGCTCCGTGGCCGGGCCGATCCTGAACCCAGCAGCGGTGTCTACGCCACGCCCTCCTGGCTTGGCCAGACAGGAGGGAGTACTCACAGCTCCTGGGTTCAGGATGGTCCTGGCCGGGGCGCAGTGGATATGTACTGTATAGATTTCGTCGCCCGATTTTAGAGGCACCCCGCCCTCCAGGACGCTCGTCTGCCTCCCCGAGCGGCCTGATCAGCAGGCTGTTGCAGGTGGCCGCTCCCTGGGCGCGACCCGCCTCGCCCGCCTCTTCGGGCTCGGTCGGCTTCCCGCCCCATCAGCGTCCTCCTCCTCCTCCTCCTCCTCCTCCTCCTCCTCCTCCTGCTCCTCCTGCTGCTCCTCCTCCTCCTCCTCCTCCTGCTCTTCCTCCCTTTCTCCTCCTCGACCCCTCCTGGCACCTGGATGATCCCTGGGTGCCTCGAGCACGCATCCACTGGCAGCCCCTGCCCGGGCGTCATCGGGGGAGGGGAACCGACACCACCACCACTGTGGGGGCTGCTTCCAGCGAGGAGACCCACGATGCCTCCCCGAGCATAGGATGGCGGATGTCTCCAGCGAAAAGGGGGGACCACACCACCAAGGGCACCCACCCCTTCCGCTGGTGGCCTCCGGTGATGGTGGTGTCGCTTCTCCTTCGGACGCGGCTAGGACGAGGATAAGTCTGTTCCAGAGCGTTCCGGAACGCATTCAGAGCGTCCCGGAACACGTTCCGGAACGCTCTGAGAAGGCCGCGGCGCCCGAGACATCCTCCAGAGCCGCCTGATCTCAGAGACTCGCAATTTATCCCCGCCCGATGTATTATCCTTGTCCTGGCTTCGTCTTACTCCCTGCTCAGACATCCGCCTGCCTCCGTTTTCGTCGATGCCTGGGCCCCAGAGGCCTGGGCCAGCTCCCAGGGGCCGGTTTTGCGTCCTGAGTCGCCTCTTGACGGTCCCGAGGCCCGGCGAGGGCCCCCCGAGGCCGAGAGCGGCGAAAGGCCTGCCGAGAGGGCGTCGGACCTCTGCGTGCCCCGCCGTCCGCCCCTTGCGCCCGTGGCCCCGGCCGCGGCCGCGGCCGCGCCCGGCCGAGCAGCGCAGCGGCCCGGCCGCGCCCCGCGCGCCAGGAGCCGCGCCGCCGGCGGCCGCGCCGGGCGGCTGGGGCGCCTTCGACGCCGCGCCCGCCGCGCCGCGCCCGCGGGCGGGCTTCGGCGACTTCGGCGACTTCGCCAGCGCAGGAGGAGCCGCCGGCGCGGCGCCGCCGCCGCGGGGGGGGCCTGTGTGGGGGGGGGGGAGGCGGCCGCGGCTCGGGTCCCGGGGGCGGGCCATGCCAGCGTGGCGCGTGGTGGGTCGGGGGGGGGGGGCTCGGGGCGGCTGCCTGGGGTGGGGGCTCGGGCCCAGGCATGGTCGCGTCGTTTAAAGCAAAATCAGGCCGCGCGGTTCTTGGCCGCCTTCGGCCCCCGGGAGCCCTCGCCGGGCCTCGGGACCGTCCACGAACGACTCGGGACGAAAAACCGTTCCAGGGGGAAGGGTCGGGACTTCCAGGTACCCCGCATTGAAAAAATCAAGACGTCGCATTTTGGGGAGGCCGCTCTCCGATGGACGTTTCGGGCGGCCTGGGGCCTCTTCAGATATG